GGGGGGGGGGGAGAGAAATCCACACCAACACTTTATGTTCTTTCTCAAAGCCCATATGACTCTCCCCTTTCTGTTTTGCCAGAGAGGGCTGCCTAGCATTCAGCAAGCCTAACCACCCATATTCTTCTCCACCTTGTCAACCAACAACCACACTTGTAAGAGAAACTGCACATATCCAGCTTGTGCATTCTTAGAGCCTCATCCCCTTTCATTGCCTCTCAAGAAACTGATTAAGCAGAAAATGAAGGGATNTGCCACCCACTCTACCCAAAGGTCTCTGGGTGGCTTACAACAATTAAAATACAATAAAAGAGAAAATGAGTAAAATACAATTAAAATAGGTACTCTAAAAATTGCCGTCAGGACCCACAGTTGATGTTATTTCAATTAAAAGCCTTCTGGGACAGGAAGGTTTTGACCTGGCGCCAAAATGTCATCAGCGTCGGCGCCAGATGAATCTCAGTCGGGAGGGCGTTCCATAGTCCGGGGGCAGCTGCCAAAAAGGCCCTTTCTCTACAAGCCCTCCCTCTTACCTCCTTAAGGGATGGCTCTTTCAAAAGGGCCCCCTGGCTAGATCTTAACTGCTGGGTAGGCTCATATGGAAGGAGGCGGTCCTTCAGGTATCCAGGGCCCAAGCCATTTATTCATTCTTCCTCAGATGAGATGAAACCAGGCAGAATGCAGAGTTGGGTTGGGTTGAGGGAGGAATTCCCTTTTTGCCAGTCCCTAGCACAGGGTGGGCAAAGTCAAGTCCTCTAGATGTTGATGAACTGCAATTCCTGCCATTGCTGGCAAAGACAGCTGATGGTGAGGACTGCTGGAAGCTGCAGTCCAACAACAGCTGGTGGGCTGGACTTTGCAGCAAAGAAATGACACATTTGGCATCATGAAAGCCATTCCAGAACAGCACCCAAGATGGCAGAAAGCTAAACATCACAAAGAAACCTGTATCTATGGGTCTGTCAGCCAGTCAACACAGAAGGGCTCCTCTGCCTTTGACAGTTGTGTGGCAGTTAGAAGAGTAAGAAGTACAGTGCCCACCATCAGTCTTGATGCCCTGTTATGAAATTTGCCAGGGTGCAGGAATGGGCCTAGAACAAGTGGGTGGGCAACTTCAGGATCAACATGAAATTTCAGATTACTACTACTTCTCTATGGTGGCTCTTCCTGGGTTAGAGGTAGGACCTCTTCTAGCTTCCTGTAGACAGAGGAAAGAACGCTATGAAGACAGTAACGAGCAATGACTAGAGGTTGGAATGCATCATGCCCTGCATATTTGAGAGAAGAAAGAGGGAATAGTGCCACCTGAGCACTCATCCACTTTTTTATCTCAATCTTCTGCCACGGGAGAGAGTGCAGTGACTGAAGCAATACTTGCCCCTATCCATGTAGGAAACATTCAGTGGAGCTGTGCCTGTGAAGCGGCATTTGCTGAGTTCCATGCATTCAGGCTGTGATGCTTTAAGGAAAAGGTGCTCATTTGTGTTTTGCCAAGAATGGCAGCAATTTGAATGGTGTGTCTGGTGTTCTCCAACAGGGCACTTAACATACAGACAGAAGGGCAGTTGGGACAGAGATGGACATCTCCTGCTCTCTCTCTCTCTCTCTCTCTCTCTCTCTCAGCTCCCTCTTGTGAACTGATGCATACAATGCATGGATATGCTGTGATTGGATGCAGAGTTATGCTATTGTGGTGATACTGGAGGAGCGGGAGGGAGTGAGGCATCAGTGAGGCCCTTCTTGGATCTTGGAAGGTGGGGGAGAGATTTTAACTACACCAGTTCTGAGATCAGCATAAATTTCAGCCCTCATCAGGAGTGTACTGCAGTCTGAAAGGAAGTATGGTTTGACATGAACCTGTTCCTTTCCTGCTCCACCCGGATGTCATTTTGACCGCTGTACTAGTGCAGCTGAAGGCAGAAAAGATCCCTTGGTGTAGCACTTGGCCAGTGGCAATGCACTCATGCAGATGTTGAAGCATATTTACATTAGTGAAAGGGCACGTTAAGTTCTATAAGCATACTGGGGTTTCTGCCATATCATTTAGTGGGATTGCCCATAAGATGGTACGTGCCCCCTTATTGTTTTTTGGCTAAGAAGACAAAATGCAGAGTCACTGACTGCAATGACCAGTTGTTAACTTTCTTATATAGCCACTACCTGTATAAGCAACTCATCAATTTAGACATTTGGTAAAAACTATTTTTCTTGGGAACAGTACTTCTTAGGCAATAACCCGGGTGATGGTGAGAATGTACTGCAATTTTAACTATCTGTTTTTAAACCATTTCGTAACTTTCGGCCCCCGTTTTAGGAGGAAGGTGTGCTCTACATAAAAAATACATAAACTAGCAAGCAAGCTACAACTAGTTTAAAATCTGGCAGCCAAACAGTTGTGTGTTGTGCTCTTTAGAAACCACACATCACCTGTCTTAGACTAGCATCGTTGGTTTGAGAAGGCCCTGCTGCATGTGTCACCAGCCTGAAAGGCTAGATTGGTGATTCCACAAGAGAGGGCTTTCTCTGTAGCAGGAACCCAGCTATGGGACTTACTCCCCAAAGAAGACAGCCTGCATGCATCCCTTGTGAGCTTTTGGTGTGCAACCAAGATTGTATTGTTCTCACTGGTCTTTGGTCTTTAAAACTGTCTTCAAAATTGACTTTTGGAATTATTTTCAATCTATTTTGGCTTTCTGAAATTATTTTTTTTTAATGTTTAAAATCTGGTTCTAAACAAGATTTTTAATGATTAAATGTTGCTTTGGAAGCCTTGGAACACCCACACACCCAAACTAAATTTCTTTAATTGAAAAAAAAAAGCCCACCAGAAGTAGCTGGATATGTTTGACTTGTTTTGCAGTTCTGCTTAATTGTGTCTTCTAAGGTTTTAATAGTTAACCTTATTTGGTTGTTTGTTCATTCATGTCCATGTATACCTCACCTTTCTGTGTTTAGCATCCAAGGCAGCTAACATACAATAAAGAAAAATTTAAATTCCAGCAACATTTTCTCAAAATCAGTTATCATAGAAGAGCCAATAAAACCAATAAAAAGTTCCAGCCAAGGTCACATTAAAATGTATTAAACTGAGCCAGAAGTAGAATTAAAAAAAAATCAAGTCAGCTTAGGAGGCCAAAAGCTTGTCTTAATAACAAAGCTTTTGGCCGATGGCAGAAAAACAGCAAATAAGGAGCTAATCATCCCACACAACCCATTTGGATGACCACCAAGAATTTTGGTTTTGCACAAGAGCTACTGAAAGGCTCTTGCCACCAAACCTATCTTGAGTTCTGTGCAATTATGATCCACAATCCTGCTGCACTTTATGGGCATTAAATTTTTCTAGCACTAGCAATAAGCAAAGTTGCAGCAAACTCCTACGTATAATTGGGATCAGGGACAGAGACTGGCTCAATGGCTATGATGATACAACTACTGTAGTGTCAAATATATGGACAAGCCAAATCAGCTGCAATTCCGAGTCTCACGTTGTAAGTACCCTCTAAATACAACTAAAACACTAAATTTATAATAATATACTTTTAAAAAAAGCTATGGGTGCCTCTTAATCTTTACATGGCTTAGGTCTCAGCAGGACCTAAACCTATCCTGATAATAATTAATGGTGCATAAGACTTATTTGCTGGAACAACTTGGGCCCCAGCCTTACATCTTCCTGGAATCACGGATGATTACTCTCAGTAGTGCATTGCATCCATTTATAATGGATGCAGAATCCTGGGGTCTCCATGTCTTTTGC